GGTGGTCCCTATTTATCTACTTTGATTTACATGCTTTCGAACCACTAGGTTGGTGGGAGCTGGGACAAGCAACGGGCACTCACTCCGTGGCGTTGAATCGATCTTACGACTGCTTGGTTTTCTGACCCTGCAGCTCAGGCTTCTGCGGTTTAGCCCACAGCGCCACCACGTCCCTTGATGACTTAGGTTTAAAAAAAAAAGAAAAGAGGGAGGGGAGGAGGAACAGACACCTTTTCAAAAGAACACCTGGAAAAGCACCTTTTCAGCCAAGACAAGCACCTTCTGGGAAAAACCAAGCACCTTTCAGACAACAGATCACCTTGAAAAGCACCTTTTCAATCAAGACAAGCCAATACAAGCACCTTTTGGGGAAAAGGGGGGCAGCAAAGGAGGGAGGGAACACCTTTTAAAAATCCAAAAATCAAATATTTTTTTAAAAGCAAAAAAATAAAAATACAGTCCGTACAGCACTGTACCAGGCAGTATCAGGCAGTCTGAAGACTGTCTCCAAAGCTACTCTCAAAATGCTGGTAAGAGCGAGGAAGCAGACAGGCAACCTCTTCACTGGCCAACGGTTCAAATTTTGCACTTTCCCCACCTCCTGTGCATTTTTTCAGTTTGTAACTCGAATCTAAGTTCACAAATCATGTCAATATTTTTCTATCAGAGTAGTTTGTAAGTTGAAATGTTTGTAACTAGGGCCGTTTGCAAGTCGGGGGTTGACAGTATAGTAATTGTGATTATGCTTTCATTTTCTCCTCTTCTGGCATTTTCAGAATGTGTTACATTCCCTCCAAATTCTGACGGCATAGTATGCAAATGTTTAATTATTTGGAACTGCTGTGGAAACAACAGGACTCACTTCCAAGTATCAGTGTTCTTAGCATCACCATAATAGTTAGTTGCTTTTCTGTCACTGATTCTAATTCAGAACTCTCCACATTGTTCTCAGAAACTCTTCAGACCAGCAAGCAATCAATCAAACGTGCCCTTGTTATCCATGCCAGTGCAGTATTAGTAAGTAGCTATGATATTAGGTGATCTGCTTAATTCCATAAATATTTTTATAATTATCTGCATAGCAAACAATTTCTCCATTTACTTACTTACCTAATTAATGCTGATATCTGTTTCTAAAAGGTAGCTATATTTTTGCTGCAGGAAAATCAACAAATAAATAGTCTTGTGGCACCTCAATAAAACTAACTCATTTAGGGCAGCATAGACCTGGCAGTGGTGACAGGGGTGGGGAAGTTTGATTCCTCACTGTGCATAGCAGCAAGGAGCAGGGGCACCTTAATTAGTGGCAGTGACATTATCTCCCTTATGCAGGCTTAATTTATGCAATAGGACTTCAATGGTTACAATCCACATCTTAACTGTTATATGTTTACATCACTAATGGTGATATTGTGTGCTCCTAAGAAGTTCCTTTCCTTTCAAGCAAGAACCTCCCTGCTTACTCAAATTGCAATGACCAGATCCATGCTCAGAACTGTGTCCTAACTATCCTAGCTGAATACCTCAACGAGTTAGAGATTGGGAATTTGATACCCCACTCTGCCTCCCATGAGAAGAGCCAGCCTACAGTATGTGGTCTTGGGCAAACTGGCACTGTCCCGGAGGAAGGAAATGTACAAGTATTAGTCATCGCACTGTCCCAGAGCACCCCCCCCCAGAGGAAGGAAATGTACAAGTATTAGTCATCTTTCCTCTTTTTGTAATTCTGGATGAGAGTTTCATGTATAGGCTGCAAATGTTGAGACAATTCATTCATCTGATATTGTAAGGGTGATGGCGATATATGAACTGTGTATGTCCTCCTTCAGGAGCAGTGTTTCTCCTTTAAAACAAATCACGGCTTTGTTTCATAACCGCAATGTGAACATTTCTCTACCAGGACTTGTTCTCTCCTTTCCCAAGGGTTTTACGAAACTACAAGTGGACTTTTCATAGTGAGTTCTGGGGTTACAAAAGTGACTCACTAGAACCACAAAACTTTCAATATAGTAGAAGGCATGTTTACCTATTACTCCTCATAACATCCTCCTCAAGTCAAAAGTGGGTTCTGATTTGAAACCTATCAATTTGTTTTGCCATTTCTGGAAAATTGTAAGATTGGTTTCTAAGCAAGGCCTATATCACATAATGGTGTTTTTGCAAAGCATCACAGGCAAATATCTTTTATTCCTTACGCATTTCAAGAAATCCCACCTGTATGTGTGTAATTTCCACTATATGGTTAAGAGCTGAATTTTAAACCTCTTACACAATTGTTTATATTCCTCATTCAAAGAGCTTGAGGACATCATTGGTTATATTGCCATCTGGTGGGTAATTTAGCTGCAGTTAGAGAAATCTACACCGATTGCATTTCTGTCAGTGTGTGCAAGATCAAGCCACCAGGTCTTTGCCAGAAATCCTTGTGTAACTGATTTGTGGTCCCTATGACAGAGATGAATGTTTACACGTGAGCAGGTCACTGCATTTCACGAAACAAGATGTGGTGACACTTGTACCTATCAGTCTAGTTGTCCTACAGGTTGCTTATGAACCTCAAGAAAATGAATAAAGAAGGCTCTGAAGAAGGGATTGCTCATGAAAAAGAAGAGTGGATAAAATAAAAAAGACACTAGTGAGTAAGCCTTCAGACGCTGTTGCTGAATAAGTGCTGTGGTCAACAAATCATGCAAGCCAAAGTGCTTGGCTACATTCCAGTTTAGAACCATTAAAATCAGTTTATGTATGAGTTTAATCGAAGTATGATAACAATAAAGCAATATTTGATCTGTAGACAGATAAGTTGAATATCAATGGAGCAGCAAAACTTAGACAAGATGGTTAGCCGGCTCCTAAGTGATTGCTTTATCCACCTGACAGAATTGTGTCTTAGTTCATTTAAGCCAGGGGTCAGGGAACTTTTTTACCTTTTACCCCCCCAAAAAAAAAAAATTATATATGCTGACATTACCCCCTTGATTTAAAAGGAAGGAGCTCGGTCATGCGCGGACAGTCAAACGCCACCAACAAAGCCTCGCTGCCTGCACCCAGGCCTCCTCCTTCTCCGCCTGGCGGGCCGCGCTCTGTCCTTGGCCCTTTGGGGGCGGCTCCCCTTCTCCACTAGCGGGTGGCTCCTGAGTGGCCGTTGAAGAGCAGCAGGTGGCTCACCCGCTGGGGACGCCCGACACCAGTTCCCGCTCTGGCACCGGCACCGGCTCCGGTGGCTGCTCACGGGGGCAGCTGCATCGGACCTTGCCATCAGGGCTTCTGCGGGCCTTGCTGTCAAAGCGCCATGACGGCTGCTGCACAGAGGGTGAGAGGCTCCACCAGGCCCAGCTGGCCAGCGTGGAGGCACCGCTGAAGGACGTCACACGGCCCCATGAGCGCCACTGCTGCCTGACGGGCTCCTACGGGGACACGCTATGAGGCAGCGGTGTCCTAGTGCCAGAAGGCTGAGCCTGGCCCAGGCCGCCATCATGGCCGTGCCCGCCCCCCTCAGCCATGATCCACCTCTCCAGGCATTAGAAGGAGAGGCTCCTCCTGGCCAGGGCACTCCAGCTGCTCGCCCCGGCCTCACCCTCCGCCATGGCCAGCCCTGCTACCGTCGCCTCAGCTGCCCTATGCCACTGGCCGGGGCCCATCGCCGACCACCATCCTCTGTGGCTGGGTTGCAGCTGGGCCAGAGAAGGAGGTGGGAAGGGGGCGATCGGGCAGCCAGGGACTCCCCCTCTGGGCAGAAGAGGAGGAGGGAAGGGGGTTAAGGTCACATCCTCATTACCCCCAGGATTTTCATTTTTACCTGATTTTGGGTAATTTACCCCTGTTCCCTGACCACTGATTTAAGCAGACTGTAACTGAGACAAAGCCATCCAGCTCTGTTCCTTCTTGTAATTTCTTCTAGTAGCTAAACAGCAGTGGGAGGTCAGAGCTAGGCTTGCTGGGACTGAAGGGTCATAATTTTTTTATTAGCAAGCATTATGATGTCATCTGCAACCCCTTCAAGCCTCTCTGTCCCCTGTGAACTTAGATTCAAACATTGCAGTATCTTGGGGGAAGGATCAGTTGTGATCTATCCCAGTGGCAACATGTTTTAGGATGTCTTGGTCTCAAATAATCAATCAAGAGCGATTAGTTTTTCAAAAGATCTGCTCCTATTGGAGACCGGAAAATTATAATAATGAATTTGTTCGCTTGAGTCAAAGCAGCTACTTGCATATTTTGATTTCCGCTATAGGGACTTCCATGAGGAGGGTT